GTAAATTCAGAATCTTTTTATACTTAAGCATAAAAAGATATTTATGTTGACTTACACATTTTTATTTTTTTAACACTTAATAAAATTTCCTTTGATATCCTGTACAACGTTCAAAATTTTCATCGATTTCACTGTTATGTCTCCAATCTTAAAAAACATATATTCAGATTGAAAATATACAATCCCCTTAGAATACATCAAAATTTTGTTTTTGAGATATCAAAAGCCACAGTGTGAGAATTGAACCCACTAAAACCATATCTGGGGAGTGGAAAGTACATCAAATGTTCTGATTTCTATATTATTATATTCAAGTACCTATTAAACTAAATTACAATGCCGACAATTGAATATGAGAAAATAGAAAAACTACATATATACAACAATTTGTGCTGCAACCATATATATTATCTGAACTTATAAACATCAATCTGTCTCTTATGTTACCCCCACTAGAATCGGCTTAGAATATTATCATGGTAAGGCATGCCTGTCATCAGAGACGTTAAAAATCCATTATCTGGAACCACCCAACACTGTTTGGAGTAAAAATGGTAGTGATTGGACTCACGAGGGCCAGGGCTAACAGCTTCTACTGTTCTTATAAAAGAGGCAGGCACTTTTAATGAGAGTATAATGGTAGGTATGGTTGAAGTCCAAAGTTAAGCGGATAGAATGGAGTATTCATTTTTATTATTCTATGAGAAGTTGCAATTTCTAACTGAATGTTCAACCCAAAGAATAGCAGAGGAAACTATATCCAAGCGTATGGCTTTAATTATATCGACGAAATTCCTTGGAAATCCAATGAGGACGTTTATACTGATACGTGTATATGGTCAAATGGAATCCATGGTTGATTGGGTGGTTAAAGTGGTAATTACAAGAGAGAGAGAGAGAGCTTTTTTGCATTGTTCTGCTATGACATTCTCGTTACCAATTGACTGTTCGATTTTTTGTTGAGACAACATTGTTAAATCCAATCTCTCGGGTTTAGAACCATTCAGAGGTTCTTATTATTAAATAATAAAATTAATTGCTATTAGCTACTTAAGATTATTACAGCTGTTTAGACTTAGTTACTTATTTACTGCTGTGGAGTATAGGACGTCGGACTGCCTAATAAAAATATGAAACCAAAATCATGAAATCATTAAAATCTAAATTGTTCCATAAAACAAGTAAGAGAAGAATAACCGGTAAAAGACACTAGACTATATCCATAAAACAATATTTTCAATAATAGAATAGAATGCCAATTTTAGTAATTTATAATACTAACCTCACTCAATGTTAAACGTTTTCATATTTATCTCAAATTAATTTGCATATTAAGTGAAAAGATATTTTTTATTTTAAATTATTTTATAAATTCATTTTTTATTATCCGCAGTCAGCCTGACGCCGGCCGGGTTTTAAAGCGATTTGCAGCGACAATTCAAAACAACAAATTGAATGACTTGCCAATGAGCTCATTAACAGTTATCAAAACTGGGTCAGGCAGTGCAAGTTTAATGGCAATCAATACAATAAATTTTTTTATATATCGATAATCAATAAATCCAATTAAATAATTAAAATTGTTATTCACTTGATTGTATTCATAAATTAACTTTCCATATACGAGAAAAATTTCTTTCTGATTTTGTTTTACCGTAAAAAGCTGCGTAATTATTATAAACGATGAAATAGAAATTATCTATTTATTTTATTTATATAATTATCAAATTAATAATAACTTAATTAAGTAAATTAATTAAATACTTTCAATGGAAGGAAGTCGAATTCAAGTGAAAGGAAAACATGCCCGCAATTAATTGCACATAAAACATCGAAGCACTGTTTGTTTTGTATGGGAAAATAGCAGAGAACCTTTCGATAGATAAGTTTTTACCATTAAAAATGACTTAATTAAACTCGTTACATTATTGCATGGGATTTCTGCGAAATTTTCAAAGTTACTTTAGTAATTTTATTGCAATTTACTAAAACAAAAAAAAAATAATACAGAATCATAAAAATCTTTTCTGTTCCAATTACTTTTCCTCGCTGTTAGCATTAGCATTGGCCTCAGTGGAGAAATTGTTTGAAAAGGAAAATCACAATGGAAACATAAAGCATTTTTAAGACCCACAGACCAACATGGAAAGTGGGTTAAGCAGCACTCAAGATCAAGCACAACACGACGGCATACTCGACACGGCATTCGACAAAAGCAAAACTGTTTTATCGTTTCTCAAACTGTTAAACACTCTCGCCAAACAAATTGATTAAAATGTTTAAAAACTTAACAGAGAAAAAAAATATTTTAGCTTTAATTGACGCAATTATATCTCAAGCCAAAGCAAATTATATGACATAAAACCTTTACACGGTGGCTTAAATAAATACAAATCAATATTAGAGCGACAGCGACGACGATTAAAAAAACAAAAACAAATAAATCTGACAAAACAAAATAACTGAAGTAACAGATACCTCAAATACCTCAAATACCTCAGATATGCCAAAAATGACAGTTGCGACAGTTGCGACAGATAGGACAGTTGGGACAGATGTGTGAGATATATTAGCTTTGAGAGATATAACACATACTCGCGGAAAACATTCACCTTGGCCATGAATTACTGAAATAATTTTTACGCAATTAAATTATCGCAAAAATGGACTAAAAACTGGTACCGGTAACAGCTTCCAAGTTTTTACAATCCAACAAACGCTTACTCATATACTCATGTAATACCGGTCATGAGGCGTTCAATCTTTTATGGAAGCTAGTCTAAATTAATTACTGGCAATAAACCGACAGACACGATTACGGAAACATGTTGCAGTTGCACAAAAGTGAGTTGCGAGATAACTTGGAAACGAGATACTCATAACATGTTCGAAACTGTAGGCCTAGGCCACAATTAACAGAAGGTAACTGACAAAATCGCAATAAAACACGAGGAATGTGCCTGGAGTGCATATGTCGCATTGTATACGATGATTTAGTTGTCGGGTAGGAAAGTATGGCAAACTTGTCATGGAATTATAATGATTTATAATTCAATAATAAAAATAAGTAAATAAAAAATAAAAATTAAAAAACAATAAATTATGACAAAAACAGATACTAAAATAGTAGCTATTTGTTAGGGAAGACTACTGCAACTACAACTCTGTGTTTTATAATCTAAACATTTAAAAACAGTTATTGAAAACATACCAACTTCCATTAATTTTCCCGTTTCAAACAAGATAGGAAGTTAATAAAAATTTGATAGACTTATCCAATCATAGACTTATCCAAATTTGATATAACGCATCATAATTATTAGTTCAGTGAAAAATGTATCGAGTGGATTTTGGTTTAAGTGACTTTAACTATGAAGAAAGACATCTTACATATTTCCATTGAATTCAAGTCATCAGACAATCTAAAGTTCTTTTTTCCAATCGTAAGAACTGTGAAGAAACACATCTTACATATTTCCATTGAATTCACTTCATCTGAATATTTAAAGTCCTTTTTTCTAATCGTTTGAACTATGAAGAAACACATCTTACATATATCCATTGAATTCACTTCATCAGACAATCTAAAGTCCTTTTTTCCAATCGCAATAAATGTGAAGAAATATATCTTATATATCTCCATTGAATTCAATTCATCAGATAATTTAAAGTCCTATTTTCCAATCGTAAGAACTGTGAAGTAACATATCTTACATATTTCCATTGAATTCACTTCATCAGAATATTTATAGGTTTTGTTTCAATCGTATGAAAAAGGGAAATCTTGAAGCCTAAAGTGAACACGTGGTACACTAATGACTTCCAAAAGTGAAGAAGGAGTTGATACAATAGTCTTTGTCGCTAATATCAGAATCTTCTTAGTGCTGGTTGCATAGAACACTATCTTTAAAGCCAATGCTGACACAACTGCGGTCTACGCTTGAGTCAATCGTACCAAAGGAAAGATATATCTGTATATACATAGATAGTTAATATTGTGGTTTGTTTATTTAATTAAAAACGTCTCTATACTTTACTAATCAATACTTTATTATCTACTAATTGAAAAACACTAGAAAGTTAACGATACTCAAATTGACAGTCAAATAAAATTACCATGTTACTTAGTTTAATTGTAGAAGATTATAACATTAATTTCATCGAAACTTTTTCGAGATGTGTAACGGAATATTAGAACACATAGTAACTACTGGCAAGCAAAAATATATCAGTATTTTATTAAATGCTATATTGTACTCAAAACGATGATAATAAATCTGTGGGTATTCCTACTAAAACCAGACCCTTGAATTGGAGCCGTATTGTGTGTAAAAGTAGTTGAATCACAACAGGATCTTTGTTGGAAAATAGGATGATTTCTTTCTCTACGCGATCATTAGTCCGGATATCCCACAACTAAAAAAATTGGTTTGTCATTTCAATTACGATGAGACACCCACCTTAATAATATAAATGTCTAAAAATAAGAACCATCTATGAACTTACTTACTAACTCAGTTGGTCATAACAGATGACCAACTCAGTTGATCATAACAGATACCGCACCCAGTAGCTACTGCAGCCAGTCCAACTTGCTGTCACAAGTTGGCAGTAACCACATCGTTGTTCATTTGGTCCTTCTACTAAAGATGCGGAGGTCCTCAAATTCAATTCGCACCGGCGGATAACGAATCAATGCCTTCATATCGTTGCTCATGCTTCCACCAAAGAGGCCTAGATCCTCAAGCTCATTTTGCACTGACGGGTAGCGTATCAAACTTTCTAGTTGGATCATTTTCTTCAACTACATTTATAAACCCAAACTAACTACAGAAAAGTTCTTAAAGAAAACATGGTAAAAGGGTTGAGCGTACTTATACGAAAATTTATTTATTTTCAAAGTATTTCATAAAGTAGGCGATATTTGGTTTCAACTAAAATTATATATCTTGTTTGGCATTTAAAAATAATTTGAGTTACAGTCAACCTCAAAATTAAAGGAAAAAAAAATTTAATATTGATTTCCAAAATTTTTGTGTATTATAAATTTGTGAAGATGACGCGTTCTAAAAACTTAAAGGACGCAGCCAGTAGTGATATGTCTGTGCGTTATATGTTGAAGGATTTTAAAAAGGAAATCAGAAGGCGATTTAACGAAGAAAATGAGCTAGTACGCGAGTTAAAGAGGGAAATTAGAAACTATCGCGATGCTCATCAAAAAAGCTTGAAGATCTGGCATCAGGAACTGAAAAAGAAAAATACACCAATTGCTGCACCTTCACCCTCACTTTCACCTAGTTCTAACGAAGTTGATTTAAAGGAAAGGATCAGTGTGTATTCGGTGTTCAGTGATAATACAGGTCAAGCTTCTTTGGATGATGCATCCAGTTTGGACTCAGAATCGGTAAACATTCAGAAGAAAGTGAATTTGAAGAAGCCGAAGGATAAGTTGAAAGCAGCTCCTCGTAAAAGAGGAAGACCTAGGAAAAAACCGGTACCCTTCTGGAAGAAAAAATCCTAAACATGCATATCATGTGCTATTCACCTCATGATCCTCCATAATAATGGTCAAAACTGGGTAAGTATAACATGTTAAGTTTTTAATTTTACTTTAAATCTATTATAATTCATATATTTTTTTGAAGATTATAACTAAAAAGGAAATCTATCGACCTATTGTTGATGACTATTTTCTATAAACTTCATTTTAATACAAAATCGAAGGCATTGTGGTAATTATTCATAATTTTTATTCGTATAATTTTAAAGATATAATTTACAAAAATATTGTATAACGTACAGACTATTTTGTGGAGGATGTATTCCATCTTTGACATGAGGTGTAAATTAGGAATAGGAGAATTTAGGGAATGATGTTAATTATTTGTGGTTCCGATGTAAATATCATATCCTGAAGTGTATTATGTATGCCTACAACTCTTTCGTGACAGAAGTTGTTATTGGACTGAAAATTACTTAATGAATTCTATTCCTAATAGAAATACGATTACTTATTATATCAAGCTTAAGATTTCTAAGTTTTCTTAGAAATTATATACCAATAGAAGATCGGAGCATGATGGTAATTATTTATAATGTTGATTTGTATAATTCTTCAGATAAATTTTATATAACGTTATGTAGGTATCATATGTAGGGACTCATTTCTTCTCTGACATGGCATGTAGAATTGGAAGAGGAGGAGAATTTGTGAGGTAATGATAACTATTCATGGTTCCGATATAAGGAGTATAACCGCAACTAGGTATTATATAAGCCTAAGAGTTCCAAGTGGGAAAATAAATTTGAATTGGACGGGAAATAATATAATATATTATATTCCTAGTTAAAACCACTAATAGAACCGCTATGTAAGTTATATATTAAATAATTTTTTTTAATTGCTTATTCTAACAAAGCTAATGTAATTTAAAATTAAAGGTATCTAATAACGCAAGTTGACTGGATAACTGATGCCATGACGACGAAGAAAAACGGCCGTTATCTTTGCACATAGTTAGGGGACCCAGGAGGGTTCTTACGCAATTGTACTTGCGTCTAATGTTTGATTGTTAAAAACATTAATTTTTTTCTTATTAAACCAAAATTTTTGTTATAATTTTATTTTTTTAATAACTTTTATAAAGACATTTCTAAATTAATTGTATTTGTACAAAAGTGAGACATTTATTTTTACAATAAATGTAAAATTTTCCTGTTAAATTAAAAGTTCTTGAACTTTTTTGCTTACTCTCGATTCACAAGAGATGGGAGTTCGAGTAATATTATAAAAGCGTAGTGCGAAGAGAAAAGGAAGGTAGAGAGGCAGTGTATAAATATTAATCTTAATTAATCTGAATTAATCTTTTTATGGAACTTATAGTTTGTGCTGAGATAAATATCTCATGTCCATTTGTAATTTAAGGGTCTCTCTCTTAATTTTTACGCCACCTTTAAAAAGAAGATGCCTTATGTTAAGGTCTTGAAATCTGGCTATATTGACCTATATTAGAAATGAAATAAAACAAGAAAAATATGTTTATTTTTAGTATAAAATTACTCGTTTTGTTGATATTTGTTCGTATTTTATTTTTAAAATCCATCGTAATGGTATTTTGTATTATTTTTCTTGTAGTTGTAATTTAACGTCAGTCATGCCGGAAGTATCTATTTATCTTAATAGAAACATTTGTATTTGGTAGAGAGGTTGTGAAAAGTAGTAAAGTAGTAAACTACAACAACATAAATTCATTTTATATTATTTTTAATTAATTGAATTTTTGGCTGATCATACAGCTATTTCGAGTATTGCCAAATACTCATCATCAGTGGTCTTAGAATTATTTCTTGTATTTAATTATTCGTAAATAATTTTTTGGAACTTTAAATATCAAGGGTTAAAGTCGTACCCTGCTAAATTTGAAGCTCAGAGTCAGCGTTCAAGTATTATTTTTTTTAAACTTCCAACAAATTATTATTTCAAACGAATTGCATTCATTGTACAACGTACAGATTATTTTATGGAGGATGACATGAGGTGTTAATTAGGAATACAAGAAGAATTTGGGAATGATGTTAATTATTTGTGGTTCCGATGTAAAGATCATATCCTGAAGTATATTATGTATGCCTACAACTCTTTCGTGGCAAAAGTTGTAATTGGACTGGAAATTACTTAATGAATTCTATTCCTAATAGAAATACGATTACTTATTATATCAAGCTCAACGTTCAAGTATTATCTTTTTTAAACTTCCAACGAATTATTATTTCAAACGAATTGCATTCATGCCTATAGATAAACATAGCATCCATCTCAGTCTTTTATCTTTTGAACTGTCTTAGAACTGTCAGATATTTTGGGCTACAAAAAGTAAGCTAATGAAGATTTTAATGAAAAATGTGTAAGGCAGGCAGTTTTAAACAAGTTTAATTAGGAATACATTCTTCTAAAACCAAGAAGTCAATATTTTATTCAAATTTTGATGTACGCTTTTACCACCTACATTGAGAATATTGGATAGCAACTTAAGAAGGCATATTCTCTGATGAATGTTAAGCAGTTACAAAATAAGTGAGTGATTCTGGATTCGAGCTACAACAGATCTATGTAGTCGGTATGCCTGCTAATTAGGTAGTATCTAATTAAGACGATAATCGTGTTTAATACAATACATGATGTTGCTTGTATATCTATTAAGTATGGTGTTATAGTCACTCCACAAATAAATGGCGATATAGTGTTCTTTCTAATATTTTCTCAATTTGATTATAAAAATAATTCATATGCATTTTTTTATTTTTAATTTTTTTTAATAAGTAAAATGATTAATTTGAAAAGGTTAACGTAGAATAAGAATCGAAGACAAAGATTCTTTGTCAAAAAGTTTATTCCGAAAATAATTCCTTTGTCAATTCATTAATATTTGGAAAGCCTTATGAGGGCAAAAAGCTAAATGCCATGATAACGTCGAAATAAATTAAATCGATTTGCTTCGAAAATAACACAAATCCAATCAAATCGATAACAAAGGCAATTAAACTGCATCGCTGACGATGGTTACCAAATGAATTTTCATTCTTATTTTTAGAAGCGTGCGTCAGCGTTTTCAATGCTGAGAATAATAATTTTACAGGTGCGGCTTTGCGGCTTTCCTTCGCCAGAAGTCAGAAGTCATTGTTACCAAAACCTATCAATGCAATTGGATTCAAAAAAATTAAAATCAGCTTGGCTGATAGTTTAAATGAAGTTATGAAAAATTTCTATATGAATTAACAGCTATTTTATTTACGAATAAATTGATAAGGTATACATACGAGTACCGTGGAATAAATGAATAAAAAACAAATAAGTTTGGAAATTAATGGATGCAAGTTTATATTGTAATAATGCAATATAAACTCTAATACACTTAAATTCCCTTGCCCTTAAATTATATCAGATATTTATATATCATATATATGATTGAATCTAGATATTTGTCATAAGTGTAATACCATTGATGAGTATTTATTAGCAATCATGACGTATTTATACTCGTATATATATGTTTCCGCATAATCGTTATTAAGTGAAAATCCTATGAAAGAACTCAACTATGCTTGTACAAAATTAAGTTGCCCATACTTCATATCTAGGCTACCTGAGGCAACTTGGCATCTTTTATGTTACCCTCACATATTTTTTTAAACCATATTTTATAAATATACCATAAGACATTTTCAATTTAATTATTTTATTTAATTATGAAACTATTTTTATTTTTAATTTATTTAATAAATAATTTTTTTTTTCAAAATATACATCACATACTATTTTATAAATAAAGTGCTAATGGTTTTTATAGAATAGCCGCTCATATAATGAACTCCATAAATTAAAGATTATTTGCATTGAATAATTGTTTTATTGACCTAATGAAATCACTCTAATAAGCATATATTTTATCTATTTACTCAATTCTTCAACAATTTAAAAATATATTTCTTCTTACAACTGATCAATTCCTCAAGACTAAAACTTTTATTCCTCATAGCTGCCATAAGACAATTCAATCGTTGAAATTATATATTCTGATAAGTCATTTTGGTATAAGCGGAATAGCTTTTGATCTTATCAATTCTAATTTGGCTGAAAGTTTCTCAAGAGCCAAACCAGAGATGATAAAGTCAATTTTTATCGCAATCTGTTCTAATGTAAAAAAATGATCTATGTGTAAATCATATATATATTTTTTTTGTTCAACCTGATAAGATTAATTATCGGTTTGTCTTATCTCCTTTGATGCAGGATTAAACATCAGACATCGTGTTTTTCTATCTCCTTTTCCTTTACGTATCCAGTACCCTTCTCTCGAATTGATTCTTACTTATCTACTTAGAGAAATAAAAATAAAGAAAAAAATAAAAATAATAAATTTCTAAAATTATTTTTCTATATTTTCTATTGAAAACTCACTATATAAAATATATATTCGATGTTAGTACATCCATGGAAACACTTAACAACACTTTATTTCCATAAATATGAGTGTTAGATGAGAAATGTATGCATACTTTTAGGCCTTTAAATAATTTTTGTGACAAATTTTTATACCAAATTAAATGTATTGAGTGAAATTATTGATGTGATGGACTGTTATTATATAGTTGAATATTTAAATTATGAGTAAAAAACTACTTTTCGTACAAAGGAAATGTTTTTTGATTTAATTATACATTTTAATATTATTATAAATAAAATAAAACAAAAATTAATGAAATTTTATGAGAAGAATCAAGTAATATGTATTTTTATTTTAATAGTTTTTTTTTCTAGAAATAATAAATATTGATTAAAAAAGTTGAAAGTTACGACTCCACATTCTTTATAAAAACAATATCTTGTGCTACTAATAACAACTAATTTTCGAAATTCAACAACTAAGGGCTGAAACACCTGGCCCTATAAAAAACTAACAAGTATATTTATTTTTCATACTCTATATATATTTCAATTTAATGTCGCATCGAAAAAAGTTTTGAATTGAGTCTTAACATAACACACCTATATTGCTCTAATAAGAAGCAATTTAGAATAAAATATTCTAAATTTTGTCAGGTAACTAATAACAAATATAACATAAATGCCAATATCTTGTACTTAATACAAGTAGAGAGAGAATAATGAAATAATAAGTTTTTCACATTTACTTTTTTATTGTCCATCACATGCGTGAACCACTTACCGTTTTAAGGATATTGGTCAGCACCATGACATCTCTCTAAAGAGCATTTTAGGCTTTGCCAAAGGTTGAAGCTCATTTTTAAATCGTTGAGTTGTTTTAAGTTAATAGAATGTGCACTTAGGTTAGTCAACCCTTAGAATCGCCGGTATAACTAAATCTAATATCGCTAAAATGGTGTATATATTTGTATGTATGTATGTATGTATGTATGTATGTATGTATGTATGTATGAATGTATGTATGTATGTTGATCCTTTTTTCGAGTCAGCGCAATTGGGCACTTTTACTCTTTGATAGCTGGGGGTACTACATGGTCCCACCCATCTCATTGACTAATTAATGTGTTCCTTATAAGCTTTATGATTATTCAGTGATTGATCTAAGATCTGCGTACCTCCCCGTGCGGAGAGTGATAACTCTAAGATTAGATAGTGCTAAGTAGGATAGCCTGTCAGTGACTCTGCCCCTTATGTATTTTTTGATCGGGTCTATTCTAAGGTCTCTTAACATGTCGTTTGTGCGGATATATTCATTATTTTATTACTCTATACAACCACGTATACGAAAAACTCCTCCATAGAGCATATCCCTAACACTTATTTTAATCCTTAACCTCCTTAATTTAACCACTCACTCACATTTTTATACATGATTTAGATAAGTTTATCTACATAAATATGAAGATTTTTAGATTTTTTCAGCTTCTGAAAAACTGAAATGGAGTTTTGGTTTTTAAAGAATCGGATTCTTAAATCTATTTATCATTGCGTATTTCTGAGATGTTTATAGTGGGTACGGTTCTTATAATGCGCCTTTCGAGAGTTTTATCTGACGCACCAAAAAGTAAAATAAATAAAATAAGTAAAATAAAATGAACTACAAAATAGTT